ATTTTGGGAAAGTAAACTTCTTTTTGTGAAAGTAGACTTCATTTTGGGAAAGTAGACTTCTTCTTTTGAAAGTATACTTCATTTTGGGTTTAGGGTCTTCATTTTGGGAAAGTAGACTTCATTTTGATAAAGTAGACTTCATTTTGATAAAGTAGACTTCATTTTGATAAAGTAGACTTCATTTTGAAAATGTAGACTTCATTCGTGTATATTTTAAAACCGTTACTAGTTTTTCTCATTAGAGCTTTGTTACCGTTGATGCAGGAATCTTTGTTAGATAATGGTGGCCTCTGAATTCCCCAGAAGACTTTACACCAAAGGGTTTGAGCCAGCCTCGGATAAAAGCATCGGCTATTACGCTGATGATTATAGGCTGGTCCCTGTACTAAAGTCAGCTCTAGAAGAGGATGAATGGGAAGAGATTTACGAGTCACCGTTGGGTGTCTTTTTAAAGTTCCACGAGTTGGATTTTGGTTGGGCTTCTAGGCTGGTGCACCACATGCTGACCTTTCAGATCGTTTGCAAGCAGAGGTACGAGATATGGAGCCTGATTGGTACCACTCCAGTTCGGTATTCATTGCATGAGTTGAGGAGATCACCGGACTCAACTGCGGGTACGTGGATGACTTGGCTTTAACTGATCTTGCGCTTTCCGATGACACGCGTGCATTTTGGGAGCTAATGGGGGTTGAGGCCGAGTCGGGCCCAAGCACTATCGAAATTATTGAAGCCTGTTCCAACTGCTCATCATGGTCTCGTGATGATAGGCTGTGGTTGGGTTATCTTGGGATCTACGCTGGTTTCATAGTGGCAACGAGACCCGGCTCATCCACAAATGTCAACCATGCCAGACTAGTGATGGATCTCAAAGGTTTTAAGGAGTTTCCATGGGGAAGAATTGCTTTTCAGCATTTGATCAATTCTGTTAAAGAGAAAGATCTCAGCAAAAACATTCATATAGAAGGATTTGTGCAAGCTCTTCAAGTGTGGGTGTACTATGCTCTACCGGATTTTGCTGCTGAATTTGGCGAACCATTGCCAAATGTTACTGAAGAACCTCTTTTGCTGGCTTACAAAGGATCCAGAGGACGAAAGAACGTCAAAGCCAACATGCTAAAACAGGTACTGTATTAGTGTAGTAGACTTCTATGTAGTAATGAGTTTTCAATGTAGACTTCAGAAGTAGACTTCATGTGTAGACTTCTATATGTATAACTAATAGTGTTTGACATTCAGGAGTAGACTTCTGTGTTAGACTTCAGGAGAAGACTTCATTGTTAGACTTCAGGAGTAGACTTCATACGTAGTTTTCCGAGGCTTCATATGGCTCTAAATCCATTTATTAATTGTGTTTTTCCAGGCTCGCATACAGTCCTGCGTGGCTAAGGACTTGGCGGATATGTTTCCCGTGTGGGATGATGACGAACAGGATCCAGATATTGTCAAGATTGTCAATGCACTTCATGACCCCAATTTCAAGTTCTCAAAAAACCATTGGCCTTTGGAAGGTGTTTTGGGTGCACACATCGTCAAGTCAAAAGCCGGAAAGAGGAGCCTTCCCTCAGATGAATCAAGTCGCAAGAGACCCTGCACAGCCTCTGCATCTGCCGCATCATTCGTTGGTGATGAAGGGGTCGGAGTTGTCGCTACTATGAAAGCGCACTTCGACCAATGCTTCAAAAGCTTTTCAACCAAGATGCTGAATGGTCTTGGTAGCTGTGAAAAGCAGATCAAACTTCTCACCGAGAAGGTTGAATCTGTAGAGCGTGCGGTAGAAGAGTTGACTACAGGGTCGGCGAAGCACACTGAGGAAGAGCCAACCCAGCAGCAGGGCACTAGATCCAAGAAGCATGAAGGGGTTAGTTCCAAAAACCCTCCGCCTATACGAAAACATTACATGCGAACAAGATCACACAAAGTTAGGAACACTTAATACTAATGTCATTTGAATTCGAACATGTTTACTACTGTTATGTACCATGTGAGATTATTTACTTATGTTTTCAAAACTTGTTTTTTACAATTTTCAGAGTATGATAAAACATGTTACTAAATTATAGCATTGGTGTACTCATTTGTATATTCATGCATGTTTCTGACAATATACTGCAGAGTAATTCAGAGAAAGATGATGCTCCGATGAAAGCTAATGTCAACGTTGGTGCGTGTGAGAGTGTTAACGCCCCCGGGGATGCAAAAGGAAAGAAGGCTGCCGTGAATGAAGAAGAGCCCCCAGAGCCTAGTATTTGTGAAATTGACCCGAAGACGTGTGATGTTGACTTCGACGCGGTTGCACTTGCCAAAAATGCCAAAGCCAGAGAAGCGGCTCAGCTAGTTGCCCGAGCAACGAGTGCCAGACACCGCCAGCTGGCTGCGACACAGAAGAGTCCCTTCTTAGGAAACAGCACCGCAAAGACCATCATTCCATCGTCGGCATCTCACTCCGGCCGTGCCCGTGGATATGATCCTTTTGATCAAACCGGTGTCAGGGCGAAGCATACCACTCTAATGAACTTTATCAAATCAAACCCGTAAGTAGACTTCTATACGTATGTAAGTAGACTTCCTCATAGTATTATTTCCTATCGAACTCTTTCACCTGTACAGTGCCTGGCCAAAATGCCCAAGACACTCTTCGATCGATTGGTATTACATTCTGCAGACACCGACGAAATGGCTAGCTGATACGGTTAGTGTTTTACTTTATCATAGTAGACTTCGTGTTTAGACTTCTTCCGTAGACTTCTATAATAGACTTCGTTTGCAGACTTCACTCATTTCTTATTTTCCCCAATGAGCAGCACATGGAAGCTTACATCAACCTACTCAGGCTGCGATTATCCAAGCATCCAGAGTGGTTTGTATCCGACCGGATTTGCTTCCTCAACTCCATGTTTGCTACTGTTTGGAGGTGTGACTACGAAGCCTTCAAACAATCCGAGCCGAATGTAGATGGGTCTGGCAAACTTTTACCGCCTGGAGCATATTCGTACTACACTGGCGAATTACCTATCTACTGCCAGACTAAGAAGACGTGGGCATATGATGTCGACTATTTGTACTCCATGTTGCACATTAGGGAGGACCATTGGGTAGCAATATGGGTCTCATTTGTGAAGAAGCATATCACGGTATGGGATAGCCATGCGGCAACCAAACATGCATCTGATGAACAAATTGCTGAAGCTGTGGAGCCTCTTGCGGTTATGATACCCTACCTTCTTCAGACCTGTGCACCTGAAGATGACAAGTGGAGATTCCCCTGCACGCCGTTCACCCATTCGCGAGTACCAGGTACGGAGATACCTCAAAACATTCAGAGTGGTGATTGCGGAGTGTACTGCCTGAAGTACATCGAGTGTCATGCATTGGATTTACCATTTCCTGCAGAGCTCTATGAAGAAACAGGATGTAAGGGCCATGATAAGCTAGATGCAACCGAGCTGGATGTCTATGATAGGCAAGCTTAGTGTTTACGTTATTAAAACTAACTTTGATTTTTATGGCAACTTTTGGGCTACTTGCATAAATGACCTTCAATGTGATTGGAGGTCATTTTAGCAATTGGTAGATGATAGGTGTGGAAGATTTTTGGCCACCTATCTCATAATTAACTTGCCAAATATGTTGTATTTTCGTTTAGGATATTGTACTCAAACTGAAGTCTTTGACTGAAGTCTACTAAGTTGTAATTATATATGTACTGAAGTCTACTAAGTCTATTAACATGTTAGTATTTCTAATTTTCGATTTCACCCTTACAACTGATTAAGTTCTGTAATTTTCGAGTATACCAAAACGTGTATACGGAAAAAGTGTACACCGATAGTGTACACGGAAAAAGTTTTATTAAAATAAGAATTATAAGTCTACAAACGAAGTCTACAAACGAAGTCTACCATAGTCATGTAAACATATAAGTAAACCCAAAAAACATAAAACATGGAGTTTCTCTAATTTCACCGCGGCCATTCATTTGCAAATCCAGGAATTGTTTTCCAGAATAAGGCACATTCCAACTTCCAGAAGCACGGACTGCAGAGTTTGTCACCATATGAGTCCACGAGGCGTTCATCATCCATCCAGTGCTGGTTTGGCAGATTCATACAAGCACAACTCCTTGATTGTGCCTTATCAAAAACATGGAAGACTGGTTCGTGAAACGCGTCAGGCTTCTTATAAGTGGTCGGACACCTGTTTATGTGCTGCATAGTCTTCCTCATCTTCGTTGCCTCTGCCGGAACTATACCACGAATGTGGTTAAATACATCATGGCTACCATCCATGGTTAAAGAGAACATAACCATGGAGTAAGTAGCCATGAGGCATCCTCCATTTGATGACACCTTTATTAAGTCAAATCCTTCTTGGATGCTATCTTCATAGAAAATTAGAGAAACGGCTCGTAGGTATTGCGCTGTAGGATTTCTACACTCCAAACAGCGCCGAAAGAAAGCGTCAACCCTCCCATGTTGATCCCAGACCCATGGAATCGTCAAAGTTATTAGATCAACGGCCCTTAAAAAACCCTCTTCATTAGAAATCTCATTTAGATCTACAGAGCCCACCGTAGGAACGAGAAGTTATTTTTAAGAGGATATCCCACAGAATGTCGGAAGGGAGAGAGTTAAAGTTTATCGGGTTCGACATCTTCAAAGGGTCTGGAATGAGCCTATAATTCGTCTAAACCCGAGAATTTATAAGCAGAAATACAGAACACTAACAGGTACAACGGTTATACGCACCGTTAAAGTCGTTAAAACAGTTACATATATGAAGTCGTTTCAAACATAATCGTTGTACCTAAATATCACATACATAGTAGACTTCGACAGTAGACTTCCCCAATAGACTTCTAAAGTTGACTTCCAAAGCAGACTTCTTTGAGAACAATAGATGCTTTGTCTTCCTATTCCGGAGCCTTCTTGTTATTATCCTGGTGAATCTTCGACGGCTAAGTATATTAAATAAAAATTGCAACATTGTTAGATGAGTTTAGCTCAACTTACACAATTCGGAAGGTTATGACCAGGTTGCTTGCATTGGGAGCAGCTGTATACTTTGTGCAGCTTCCTTGGCTTCTTGCTTTTCCTCTTAGCAATTTCTAGCCATGATTGCCACCGAGACTTCTTCCGTCTGCCTGGTGCACGGCGAATGTCTGGTGGCAGACATATTGATGTTGGGCCTCCTTGGACCTCTGAAATTTGGGGATATATGTTGGCAGAGTATGCGGCAAACAAGTAGTTTTTTGAGTAAGTCGGACATACAAGGGAATCCACAGCTATCCCACCGGCTAATGCAGCTGCAATAGCATGTGAACATGGGATCTTCTCGATATAAAACACACCACATTCACACATTCCATGTTCCAAATCAACAATACAATTCCTGGTTCCTCCTTTCACATAGTATCTCCAAGTGTCAATTCGGTCCACCTCCATTGCATCTGCATAATGTCCACGAATCGCTAGCAAATACTCCACTCCCCGAGTATTATGTGTTGTGAGACTCAAAGCATCCTCTCTGCGTTTTAAAAACCACCGTCCGAGCTTCTCTCGTATGAAATCCAAGAGGAATGAAATGGGATAGCCACGGGCTTTCTTAAGTGCATCATTTATAGACTCTGCAACATTGCTAGTCTTAATATTGTATCTGTCTCCAACAAAATGAACTCGGGACCAAAGAGAGACATCGGCTTCTTCCAAATAGTCAGCAAGGTCAGGCTTGATCTGTCTCAGCTCCGCCATGTACCGGTTGTAGTCATAGAGGTTGTAAGCATAAGCCACACGTTTAACCAAGTACAGCAACTGCTTCCCCCTAAACTTTGTTACTATGTTATGTTGTAGATGGTAGTAGCAGATCCCTCGTTTTGCCCATGGGAAAATAGTTTCACAAGCTTTCTTAATAGAAATATGTCTGTCAGAAACTATCACCAAAGGATAACCATCTGAGACACATTCACGCAGTTTAGAAAAAAACCATTCCCATGAAGCATCATCTTCACCATCAACAATTCCAAAGGCCAATGGAAAAATCTGAAAGTTTCCATCTTGTGCGGTGGCAACCAACAAAGTACCCTCGTATTTCCCTGTTAGATGACATCCATCAACCACAATAACTCTTCTCATGTACTGAAAACCAGCAATCGATGCTCCATATGCGAGAAATAGATATTTGAATTTGTTATTCGAATCTACATGAAGAGCTGATACAGTTCCCAGATTGGTTTTGTTCACTGAATGTATCTGGAGCCATATTTTGCAACATTGAGACTGGTAGTGCGTAGGTTAACTCGATGATCTCAGTCTTCTTGCCCAAGTTATAATCATCTCGCGCCATATCAGTAAGCTGCCCAAAGGTGCAACCATCGTTCAAAAACCACATTCTTCCACCTTTGCCCATGTCAATAACAAAATGCCATGAATTCTCCTTAAACTTCCACTCACCGTACACAACTGGAATTTGAGCCATTCTCTGAAAAAATAACCATATAAACCGTATTAGCAAACACTGCATAGAGACTTTTTGTATCAAAGTAGACTTCACGACGAAGTCTACTTTGATAAGCTTAGTACCTTAAAAATCGAAACTTCTGATTCAACAATAAATATTCAATGAAACGGAATAAAAATCACTAGGTAGTTCAATCACTAACTAAGAAACAATTATAAACAAAAAAAATTGAAAAATAATTTATAAATTTGCTTAAAACGCGTTTTTACAAAAACGTCAAAACGTAGACTTCTATTGCAGACTTATAATGTGGACTTCACGACGAAGTCTACTTTTATAAGCTAAGGACCTTAAAAATCAAAACTTCTTATTCAACAATAAATATCCAATGAAATGAGATAAAATTCACTGGGTAGTTCAATCACTTACTAAGAAGCAATTCTGAACCAAAAAATTTGAAAAATAGTTTATACATTTGCTTAAAACGTGTTTTTAAAAAAACATAGGAAAGTAGACTTCTTACTTAGACTTCAAATGTAGACTGGAGGAGAAGTCTACTTCACATTTGCTTGATTTCTGTTTTTCAAAATTAAAAAATTTAAAAAATTCCAAAAAGCTTCAGTAGACTTCACAAAGAAGTCTACAAACTGTAGACTTCACAATGAAGTCTACTCAAAAAAACAATCCTTCTAAGTTTGACCGAACACAATAAGTAGACTTCACAGAGAAGTCTACAGTTTGTAGACTTCTTTGTGAAATCTACTGAAGCTTTTTGGAATTTTTTAAATTTTTTAATTTTTGAAAAACAGAAATCAAACACAAAAATGACCTATACGTTTTTGGTCAAACTACAAAAGTAACTTGAAAGTAGACTTCGTATGCAGGCGAAAACAGTAGACTTCATAATGAAGTCTAAATCCAAAAGTCAAAATACGGTCAACTACAAAAATAACCTCTTTTTTTCGTAGACTTCTTAAGGCTTCAAATGAAGTCTATTATGCTTTTTTTTTGTTTTCAAAGGATATCGAGTAGACTTCTCGTGAGGTTTAATGAAGTCTACTTTTTAAAAGTCAATTGCAAAAATAACCTTATGTTGACTCATAGACTTCAGTATAGTTCACGAGAAGTCTACTTTCGCGATATAAAATCTGAAATGTGGAGAAATTGAAGTGCGAGGATTACCTTTAACAAAATTGAGCTCCCCTAAGTTTCTCTTATCCACCCAGAACTTAGGATTTCACCGAAATTAAACAACCCAGGTGTCGAGTAAACCAGAATTCACTGAAAAAGCATGGCGCGAAGCATTGTAACTTTGCCCAGATGTTTTGGAGAAGAAATTATGATAGAATGAGCAAGGTTATGAGTGAATGAGCTTAGATATTTGTTTTATTACAGCTTTAAAACTGGTTGATAAGCATTGATTCCATTTTCATGGTTGTTCATGGTGGTTGAAGGTAATGAAGACGATGGCATTCTCGTAATTAAAAAGTCTTTAGAAGGTCCAAGAAGACTTTAGCCAATTAAAGAAAAATCGAATTATTAGATGTATAATGGCATTTTCGTTAATAGTTTAAGTGGGAAAGATAAAATTGTGAGAAAATGGCAAAATTTGGAGAGAGAAAAAAAAAGGTTAGTTTTGTGTTTGACTTTGAAATATGGGTTAAATCTGAAACTCTCCCTTGAAAAATTTACTAAATTTAAATATTTTGCATAGAATTTAATGCAATACCTTTTAATTAGTACACTTAATTGAATTAAAAATTTAATTTAGTTTCTATTAATTTAATATCGTTGGTATCTTTCGTATCTATTAAATATAAATAATAAAAATACAATTTTTTTGATAGAAATCATAAAATCCGATTTGGTAAATATTTATTGATATATCGCTAGTTAGAAGACAAAATGTCATGTAGGTGCAATTATCGATTGTCTCTAGTTTTTTTATGCAACTTGCATATGTTTATATATGACACATTTTATTAGGGTATTTCAAAAATATACACTTCAAAAAAACTTGTTAGATATTACAATTTTTATTTCATAAATATGCAAGTAGTTTATGATTACCGTTTTTGGTTTATATGTTATATAATAACCGTTTCACACTTAGCAATATAAAATTATCTTAATTTTGTGAAGATTGATTTAGTCTATTGGTTGTCTTAAATTGAAATATAAAATGTAATATTCTTTAGGGTAATGATTACCATGAAGAAACAAAGTGTCTAGTATCTCACATATCTATGTAGGATCAGTTATTGAATATGTCTATAAGTTTGTTTATTAATTATTAAATACAAAAAACAGAGTAAATTGCTATAGTTTAAAACAACGAAAATTATTCACATATAAATTAAACATTTATACATAATCAAAGAATATCAATCTATAAAAAAATTAAAAAGTTAAAAAGCCGACCTTATGACAGTTTATTCAAGATAATAACAATGACTGATTATCATCATCCAATTATAAATCATATTTATTCGATTTAGTATATGGTTTCGTTGCTTGCAACTCCAATCAGTTACCGAGACGATAATCATTAGTATTGAGAAGTTAAAAAGCTAACATTATGACAGTTTATTCCATAGCATACAACTTATTAACACATGTTCGATATACGTTAAGGTAAAATAAATTAATTTAACATAAATTGTAATTATTAACACCTGTTATATATACGTCACCGTAAACTACCAGTTCGATATATATAAAGGTAAACATTGGTAGGTATATAATCGATCGAAATAAATACAAACATACAAAGTTGCAAATAGAAACGGTCATTATACCAAAATATAATCTTCTACCTAGTTTCTATCATAAATGGGCCATATCAAAAATTACACTTCGACATAAAAACCCAAAAAAATTAACCAAATGACACTGTATTTCAAAAAATAAATAATACTTCAATTGGTTCGACATATATTGTTCAATTGAAAAATATAACAACATCAAACGATAAACAACACCAAGCTGAATCATATAATAACCATAGGAAACAATGACGCATTCACCTCTACATAAAACATAAAAACAAAAACTTTTACATAATAAATGCATTATATTATTAACAGAACAAATACGAAAAACATACCTTTTTAATCATCACGATCATTTCCTAAATTTCGGAATACTTCTTCGGATACAACATTCATTGTTTGCCTTTGTGGATTGTCATCTCTATCTACTATCAGTATTTTCAAGTCTCTCTTCGATGTTACCCAAGATATTGCAACATATAGCTGCCCATGAGAAAACACAGGACGAGGTAAATACAAACCTACTTCTGATAATGATTATCCCTGACTTTTGTTGATGGTTATAGCGAATGCAACTGCCAACGGTAACTGTCTACGTCTTAATTTAGAAGGCAATCTTGCATCAGATGGAGTGATCAGCAATCGTGGAATATAAATTTGTCTCCAGCTTTATCTCTGGTAATAACTCTTGGTTCTATCATGAAATCCGCCATTTGTGTAATCTGAAGTCTCGTTCCATTCATCAATCCCGCTTTAGGGTCAATATTCCTAAGCAGCATCACAGGACACCCTATTTTCAATGTAATACAATGATTGCGAAGTCCAGCAACTTTTATACTGTTTAAAAACTCAGGAGTAAAAGCATGATTTTGCAATGCTCCAGAGTCAGCAGGATCTATAGTATCAGAACTCAGATATAATTTTGACCACCTGTGTTAATTAGTTCAAAATATTAATATAAGTAAGAATAAAATTTCAAAAACAAACCAATAAACACAATCATATAAGATGAACATATTGTACTTACCAGTCATCTTCGACAACATATGTTCATTTATATTGTTCACATCTTCATTGGTTGGACAAAGTATTGCTCTTTCTTGCCAAAATTTGGCCTCTTTTTCCTCCTGAAACGATGTTTATTCTCCGTAAATTTGTGTACATATTGCTTTGATTGATCATGTACATCCATTATAAGGATCTCCTCAGTAATATCAATCATTGCTTCACCGTCATTTGGCTCAGCAATTTTACCTTCACCAACATCTAAAATCCATTCAGAAAATTCCTTTAATTCATTTGCTTGCTCAACACTCAAGTCACTTGTCAGTAACCTCATGTTTTTTGTTAGCTTTATAACTTTTCAATAATCCCAGATATAGGATGCGTTCAATGCAGCATTAGCAACATCTCCCCTTGAAGCACCATGCATGACAGGTAGAATCTGCCTGAAATCTCAACCAAATACAACAACTTTCCCACCGAAAACACCTCCTTTGTCATTTTGCATGATGTCAGATAAACTTTTATCTAACGATTCAAAGCAGTATTTACTCATCATAGGTGTTTCATCCCAAATAATAAGAGATGCTTATTTTATCAAATTCGCAACTTTTGAACCACGTTTCATCGAACATGTAGTATATTTATCTGGGTTAATATGTATACCAAAACGCGAATGAGCTGTCCGACCTCTTTGTAACAACAAAGATGCGATTCCACTTGAAGCAACGTTAAGCACAATATCACCCTTACATCTTATTACAGCAGACAAAAGAGACCAAAGGAAATTTTTGACAGTACCTCCAAATCCATATACAAAAAAAATGCCTCCTTTTTTGTTCTCAACTGCTTCAATAATCTCTTTATAAATCTTCCTTTGCTCAGTGGTAAGCTTCACAATGTCTCTATCATGCATTTCTTTTAATGCCTGTCTATCATTAATTTTTCATCAATTATTAAGACATTATCGTTGTTAAGCCCATCTTTTGGAGGCTTAGGCATTGATGTATAGAATTGCAAAGAACTATTGTGAAATTTCAAGATCTTCTCAATCTCCAAAAGGACAAACTTTTTCTTATCAGCATCATCCAATATAAGACCTGCAAAACGTGTAAATTATATGTATAATGAGTTTACTAATCAGTAACAAATTAAACAATGCAATACGGTTTAACACAATACCGTTAAAGATACAATAAAATAAATAAGAAAACGGTAGGGAATTTATCAAACCTGACCGATTACAATGCTGTCGCCGCATGTATTCAATATCTTCTGACAAAACTTCCCAGGTTTGTTTCCAAACATATTCAGGCCGAGACAAACTACCAGATACAAGCATTATAACAAATAGTCGTCTTAAAAATGACTTTGTAGCAGTAAAACTCATTCTAATAATATCACTAATATACTCCTGGTCATCTTCTAACAACCCTCTAGCATAACATGCTTCCTTGAAAGAAGGGTATACCACATCATTGTAGGATTTGATGTCATCAAAAGATTCTGGACCCCTGACAACATTAAGAAGAATCCTCAAATAATAAGCTTCTTCTAGTTTACGTAGAACATAAGTAATATTTCCAATAGCAAAACCTCTTTTCCTTGGTTTAAACATCCGAAGTGATTTATCCCACGTATAGTAAACAGAAATTTCTCCATACGTGAGTGTTTTACATTTACCGCCTTTTTTGTTGAACTCAAACCAAGCCGTCATCTTTGTGTTCTTTACAACTTCCCTATGGATAACCGTTTCTACCATCTCATCGCCCTTGAAATATACCAAATGTTTGCCTGGTAAGTGAAATGAAAGGTGTTCAACGGGGGTTGTACGATTGTGGATTGGATTTTTTAAGATTCGCCATGCCGATTCACACGCAGATACATATCTGTATAATAAAATAGTATGTTAGAAGTAAACAACTAACGATGTTCAATTTAATATATAGTTTTTATTCTGACAGTAGTTCAAATATAAATGTTTACAACGAACCTGCAGTCGAAGAAGTCTTTAATCTCATTTTTCTTCTTTGCTTGACATTCATGTGTGGAATCACAGACTGTTATCTCCTCCATCAGCTTTTACAATCTGTGCTTGCGAAGGCTCAATCACAAACGTAACATGATCAAAACCTTTATTTATATTCTTAAATAAGTATTTAATGGAAGAAGCTTGGTTGCACCACTCAACATTGATATGAGCTCGATAACGAAGAGACAACTTCTTGTTATAGGGTATCACAAATCTATTACCACATTTGTATCCATTTTTGTCAACGTAATTCTTGAGCTGTGACCTCCTCCTATACAAAGGAAAATCTTCTTTATTAATAGATGTTGTCTCAACATGCTGTTTAGGATACATTTTTGTACAACTCCCTTGCGACATGCATGGTGATCTTGGATTAATTTCACCGCATGGTCCATGAATCATCATTTCTGAAACAATTCCATAAAGCTCTGACTCTTCATATCGGTCGGGTATCTTAGCTGATATAACATTGTCGATTTTTTCAGGAGGAATTTTTGAAGTTGGAACTAAAAACAATTGTATATGTGCATGCGGTAGACCCCTCTTGTGAAACTCTATGGTGTACATGGCTGAAATTATGAAAATATATATCAATGAATAAACTGTATAATATTGATATTACAAATGTCAATATAAAGAATGTCAAAGTTACTAACCAGAAACAACTTTTCCTATACCGAGTCTGTTATCAGCAAAATCCATCATCATAGATTCTAGCTTCATTTTGAACACCCGACAAATTATATCTGGTCTATCATCAAAACTGAGTTTCCGCTCGTTCACATACCTTGTGATTTCTGGCCACTTTGGATTACATGTAAGGGTGATAAAAAGATCAGGGTACCCAAAATGTTTACATACAGACATTGCATCCAAGTAGCATTGAGTCATATATCGAGGTCCACCAGTGAATGAAGGAGGCAAATACGTTTTTCGACCTTGATCACACAAATTCTTTTTACCTTTATTTGATGCATCTTCTATTGAATCAAGATTTTCAGATCTCAGTGATGTCTGGTTTTTGTCAAGATAGCCGACACGATTTGCCTCTATCATGGTAAAAACATCAACCAGAAACTGCTGGAATAACCTCTTAGCCAGCAGCAAAGTGTGACATTCATTCTTTCGCTCATGTATACAAAATGCAAAAAACTGTCTCATACTAATATATTCTCGTTTCCGTTTCTTCTTCCCAGTTTTTTCAAAGCATTTTTCAATTCGAATATGAAAACCGTCTTCACCATACGGAAATATCAAAGGATACTGTATAGCAATGTATGAAGGATGAATTTCACTAATCCTTATCAGCTTGCCGCATTGTTTCTGCAGTATTATATCACGCTTACACATATCATCATTCAGATCACCAGGGATCAACGCAGCCACTTCAGACGCAGTAGGCATATTATATATCCTTGAGTCTTTCTAGCGATCATTTATAAGTCTCATATGAAGCTCCTCGTTGGGATCCAATTTTGAATCTGTCTCTAGCAGCTCGAAAATTCTTCACGTAAGGATTCACCTTATCTAACATCTTAATCAGCTTATCAATTAATTCATTCCTGAATTGTTTACGTTTAGACACCTTCATAGAATTTTTACTTTTGCTGCAAGAAAAAAAATATTATTATTAAAATAAATTAATAATAAATATGAATTCAATCATTACTTTTACCTCATAATGGTCGAACGATTTTGTACTTCTTCATCAGTGTCAACAATAAATAACTAATAAACTTTGCAACATCACCAGGTTTAGGGAGCATACTTCCCATCAGATGATAATTCTCTCCGTTAAGCTGGAACATTGATGGTCCACGCCCATTTTTGATAGACCTATCTACTTTACCTCCAATAGAACTCATTGAAAATAGCATAATGTAGGGTCTAACATTCTCGCGAAAATGTTTGCTTAGATCATCGACAGATGTAAAAAGATGCATTAATTCCTCTGGAGAATCTCGAAGGTATGGTAGCTTTACTTGACCTTGCGAACAGCACAAAGAAAATATAAGATTCTTTGCTCTTCTTCTTTTGTTTAAACGTTCATCATACCAGAAAATTGCACCACAATAATTACACTCATATGGAGGATAGCCATCATTTTTATATTCTGAATATAAAAGTAGTCCGACATTATAATAAATTAATATGTGAATTACATAACATAAGATTTAGCGTTGGAAAGAAATACCTTTATATTCGCTGAAAGGATTATTATTATTAGAGACTCCTACAGAAAACGCTTTTTGCAACATAGTAGCTAAACTCTTGACATCATAAACATAATCTTCAGGTTCCTTATTGTCAGGTGAAATTTCTTCGCCAGCTTCATCCATAATATAGTTTTCCTCATCGGACAAACCATCAAGACTGCTACAGTCAAACCGCTGTTCATAATCATACTCATCTATAAACTATATAATTGTTATTAGTTAAAAAGGTATAAGTGTATATAATTGCACATTAAGTCAATACAGCGTGACGTAAATATTACCTTCTGAATCCCAGTGTTTGTTTGGGAAGACGACATCATCATACATATCTTTGGTATCATCAACACCAAGACTACTATAATCAACATGTCCTGACAGACGAATGTAAACCAATACGAAATGCAAGTGAACGATATTTTCTGAGCACAAAATTATTTGCAATATAAATACTTACCTTCACGATATTGATGGTCGAAAATATTCTCGTTGTAGTTCTGACCAATCTCATGTTTACATTTATAATCTTCATACGAAGATATAGCATCTGCATTTCGTATACAAGATGAATCTCCATTTTCTAAGAAAACAAACTTGGTTGACTTGTTACTTGACCCACAATTAGTTAACTTCGTTGATGTCAACTGGGATAGGTCGGCTATATATAAAAAAAAATAAGATTACGAAAACCAATACTTATCAAGGTACATTATATATAAAGGACCTTAATATGCCAAACATATATAACTCACATGAAGATAGTGATTCTGGTTGCTTCCGCTTTCTCTTTTCTAATGTGAAATAATTCTCTTTCCCAATATAATTTGTTTGAGTATGTAAAGCTGATTATTGAAATAATAATGTCGCATACTAAAGTTTAATAATTTATAACCATTGTGTTAACGATAATAATATACGATTTAAAGAAAATAGTTTCTAAACATCAATTTAAAACTTACAGTTTTCCAGTCCATCACATACGGTAGGAGAAAATTGATTATGCGTTCTAGTTAGGGATTCAGTATTTGTTCTGTCTACCAAAATTTGTGGAAATAGAGAATGAACTTTGATCTCGTTTTCAAAATGATTATCCACTATATCTGATTTCTGAGTAAGCGAATTGGTAGATGATGACCCTAAATTAAACTTGGCTGCTCAAACCAGACAACAAAGTCTTCTGTTTATTCTTCCGATCAACATGTTTAATCCTAGGCATAATTTAACCTCTCATAAAACCTCCTCGTTAAGATCAAAATATAGCAAAAAACGATGGGATTAGGGAGGGAAGATAGACTAAGAATAAAACGAAAGAGTTTAGGTTAAATTTACGGCGGCAAATCCTACAAGTGAATCTTAACAATATCTATTAATCAATTATGATATGTAAAGATTTCTCTATATTTCAAAATACAAATCGATAAATGAACATAATCAATCTATATGAAATTATCATTCACATATATGAATAATCTACCATAAATCGAATTATGTACATAAAAATTATTGTTACTTACCATAGATATGAAGCATCTTAAAAACATTGCCATTACAATTTCACGCTGTATATTTGCAAAATATTATAATTTATTAATTGCATACTGTAAATCGTTAAGACAGTATATAATTAAGTTATTCACATATTCAGTCGATATGATTATATATTATATATGCAATCGAATTTCCCACTATATAAAATATCATTTTTTTGTTAAAATTCATTCCACGAACATCTACATAAAAAAATTGAGATTTAAATTATTAATTTACTTAGGTATAAATTAGGAAATATAAATAAACTATTTCTTTCTGATGTGATCTTTGACAGATGTACAAAAATATTTAGTAGATAAACATTTTTTTTGGATGTAAATATAGTTTTTGTACGTCTGTCTGAGGACCACATGAGAGAAATAGTTGTAGAGAGAATTGTATTTGAGTGAAGAAAGTTCCCTTCTACTTTTATTTATAGTCGTAAAAGTAAGGTGACTACTCACGTTTCATCTGTGTGTTTCATATTCCCCAAAAGTCTGCTCTAATTAAAACATATTAAGATACAATTGACTCAATTATCACAAATTCCCATAGAATATCATTTACAAATAAATGAATATATCTTCTATAAATATTGGAAAATATCTTGAAAAATATAAAAATAAGGTATGTACTCCGAAGTAAGTGTATGATTCATCTCCAATTTCTTCATCATACATATACTAGTAATTACTCAAATATGTCACTGGAAAATATTAGGCAATATTAATTTCGGACCCAATAAAATTAACATGATACACACGTAATTTGTAAAATAACGTAAACGTAGTAATGGTTAAATTAAAAGAATAAATTATTAAAGTTCAAGAACAAATGCATGAGTATCATCCGAACAAATTTCAACAAAAAGTTGAACAACAATAGCAAAATAACATGAGAAAATACGTACTCAAATAACCATATTTTTCGCTATATCACGCCCATCACTTTTCTAGATCCATGTGCACGAGTGAGTCCCTTGTCAAATTTCCATCTCATAAGAAGGCTCTTGCCTCAGCGTGTTTATCAGCGACACCTACAAAGGTTTACATATAAATATAAACATAAAAGGCCAAATAACGTGTATTAATATATACAATTTATTATATGCAATCCAAACTATTAAATTTCAAAATTATACCTTATTACCAGACAATAGCCACCTCTGATCACCCATATCTTCAGATTCATTCACCTCATCAGCGGATAAAACATCATTTCCTTTCCAAACCTTCCCGACTTTTTATGTATTCCTACCTCCGTATATATTTTCTTTCTTAACAAAAATCAGAAACTGAAAAGTCTTCCCAATCAAATTTTGCAGTGCATCAGGAAGGACATCCGGTTCTTGTATCTAAGTATATAACGTACTTGACATTTTAAACAAACAAATTCTTTATTCATATAGGGTTAAAATTGTATCATAGATTAAGATTTACAATTAATACCTCATCGAAGTTCTCCCTGAGAATTTCATCAGCTTTCTGATTTAAAATATCTTGTGCGTTTCTATCAAAAAGAAAACACTTGATCTTTCTGGTATCGTCCATAACGCAAAGATGAAGTTTGTACCTAGCAATATATAAAGATTGTATTAAAATACTCAAATACACGGTTAAAAAAATAATTAAGACAAATACTAAAAAAATAGTAAAACATTTTACCTCGCACTCACAAAGGACACTTTTGCATCACATGTTTCACATGAATAAAGGGTCTTATTCTTCTTGGTCATTTTTTGATCTTCCTTCTTTGGAATTTTGTATACTTTTTTATCACACCTAGTGCAAACCAAATAAAACCACGACCAGTCTGTGTCAACCGCATAGATGGTGCACATGATCTTACATTTCCCAACCTGAAGAAACAAAAATACAAATGTCAAAATTATATAATCTATACGTTTTCGCTACCAAAGTTTTAAAATGACATATACCTCAAGAGAATCTTGCAATTCTGAAATAGTGACCATTGAAAACTGATCGAAATGAATCTCATCACCATAAGAAACCCTTTGTTGAGGTTTGCTACTCAAGAAGGTAATACGTCCGCAATTCTTAGGTAAACTAATAATAGGTAATAGTATTAGTTGTATTCATAATCGTAATGATAAGACATATATATAATATACATAGACAAATTACCTATTCTTGAAGACAATGACATCGGGATCATTCAAATCAATCAGAACCTTTGTGGGTTTGCAAAATTATGGGATTGGTTTTTATTGCCTGGATAGTTGCCAAGAGAGTAAAATCAGAAAACAGAGGATATATCTCACCTGTTTGGAAGTAATACTTTGGAAAATGGGGTTTTTGCTAAAAATAACCCAAAACTTGACTTTGAATACAAAAGTAGACCCCTGAAAAAACATTTGGCAGAAATAACCTAAAGGGGGTAGTGAAAAGACCAATTAATCCTGTATGAGTAAACAAAAAACGGATGTCCTAATTACCGTTTACTCCCTGACGAAGTCTACTAAAGTGAAAATGAAGTCTACTAAGTAATTAAATCTGTAAATTTAATTTAAAAATTTATAAAAAAAAATTATTTTGGTTTGAAATTTACCATCATAAATTCCGTAATCGTAACCCAATCGGACAGAAATTATTTTTTCACATTGGTAAATGGAAATGTATGTTTTTAAATTAAATAGAAGTAAATTTATTATTTAGGTTTTAAAAATTGTAGACTTCGATATTGAAGTCTACTAAACCGAATAAGTTAACCTAACCGAAATTTAAACGGAGATTAAACCGGGAATAACTTCCCTTAACCAAGAGAAACTGCCTTTAACCGGGTAAATTTACCTAGACCCCGGAAAATTAGTAACCTTAACCGAAAAAAACTTACCCGAACCGTACGGAATTACCAGACTATATATATGAATTTTACAGATCCCGTTAAAAAAAAAACCGTCGAAAGTTCGTGTAAAAAAAAAAAAGGTCGAAGGCGATTTCTGTTTCTCTGCTCCGGCGCCGCCGATATACAGAACCGCCGCCGATAAACTCGTTCAGGCAAGTTTTCTTTCTCCAACCACACCCCCATGCTTCCCTACTCCTCCGTATTCATCACCGTTCCGTTTTCGTAAGCCCCAGTTTCCAGATCTGAAATTAGGGTTTTTTTTTTTGCAGATCTGCTTTCGCCGTTGGAGGTTAACGTCATTTCGTGCCTCAAAACGGTTAGTAGATGTTGTTCCGAAGTTATATACTTAGCGATTCTTAAATTTCTTCTATCTTATGTTTGACTTAGGTTTTTTTTTTCTCGACGCCAGCTTCATCTAATAAAGGCGGTAACACTATAAACTTTGTAGATTCCATTTTGATGATTTGTATTAGTAGACTTCATATACAGTATTTATCATGTATTGATTGCTTCGGTTGGGTTCTGTAGACTTCATATGTAGTATTTATGATGTTTTGATTGCTTCATATACTGTTTTTTATGTTAAGATTGCTTCGGTTGGCTTCAGTAGACTTCGCGACTCGGATTGTACTTAAAATGTGAAAGTAGACTTCATTTTGTGAAAGTAGAATTCATTTTGGGAAAGTAGACTTCTTTTTGTGAAAGTAGACTTCATTTTGGGAAAGTAGACTTCTTTTTTTGAAAGTAGACTTCATTTTGGGTTTAGGGTCTTCATTTTGATAAAGTAGACTTCATTTTGATAAAGTAGACTTCATTTTGAAAATGTAGACTTCATTCGTGTATATTTTAAAACCGTTACTAATTTTTCTCATTAGAGCTTTGTTACCGTTGATGCAGGAATCTTTGTTAGATAATGGTGGCCTCTGAATTCCCCAGAAGACTTTACACCAAAGGGTTTGAGCCAGCCCCGGATAAAAGCATCGGCTATTACGCTGATGATTATAGACTGGTCCCTGCACTAAAGTCAGCTCTGGAAGAGGATGAATGGGAAGAGATATACGAGTCACCGTTGGGTGTCTTTTTAAAGTTCCACGAGTTGGATTTTGGTTGGGCTTCTAGGCTGGTGCACCACATGCTGACCTTTCAGATAGTTTGCAAGCAGAGGTACGAGATATGGAGCCTGATTGGTACCACTCCAGTTCGGTATTCATTGCATGAGTTGAGGAGATCACCGGACTCAACTGCAGGTACGTGGATGACTTGGCTTTAACTGATCTAATGGGGGTTGATGCCGAGTCGGGCCCAAGCACTATCGAAATTATTGAAGCCTGTTCCAACTGCTCATCATGGTCTCGTGATGATAGGCTGCGGTTGGGTTATCTTGGGATCTACGCTGGTTTCATAGTGGCAACGAGACCCGGCTCATCCACAAATGTCAACCATGCCAGACTAGTGATGGATCTCAAAGGTTTTAAGGAGTTTCCATGGGGAAGAATTGCTTTTCAGCATTTGATCAATTCTGTTAAAGAGAAAGATCTCAGCAAAAACATTCATATAGAAGGATTTGTGCAAGCTCTTCAAGTGTGGGTGTACTATGCTCTACCGGATTTTGCTGCTGAATTTGGCGAACCATTGCCAAATGTTACTGAAGAACCTCTTTTGCTGGCTTACAAAGGATCCAGAGGACGAAAGAACGTCAAAGCCAACATGCTAAAACAGGTACTGTATTAGTGTAGTAGACTTCTATGTAGTAATGAGTTTTCAATGTAGACTTCAGAAGTAGACTTCATGTGTAGACTTCTATATGTATAACTAATAGTGTTTGACATTCAGGAGTAGACTTCTGTGTTAGACTTCAGGAGAAGAGTTCATTGTTAGACTTCAGGAGTAGACTTCATACGTAGTTTTCCGAGGCTTCATATGGCTCTAAATCCATTTATTAATTGTGTTTTTCCAGGCTCGCATACAGTCCTGCGTGGCTAAGGACTTGGCGGATATGTTTCCCGTGTGGGATGATGACGAACAGGATCCAGATATTGTCAAGATTGTCAATGCACTCCATGACCCCAATTTCAAGTTCTCAAAAAACCATTGGCCTTTGGAAGGTGTTTTGGGTGCACACATCGTCAAGTCAAAAGCCGGAAAGAGGAGCCTTCCCTCAGATGAATCAAGTCGCAAGAGACCCTGCACAGCCTCTGCATCTGCCGCATCATTCGTTGGTGATCAAGGGGTCGGAGTTGTCGCTACTATGAAAGCGCACTTCGACCAATGCTTCAAAAGCTTTTCAACCAAGATGATGAATGGTCTTGGTAGCTGTGAAAAGCAGATCAAACTTCTCACCGAGAAGGTTGAATCTGTAGAGCGTGCGGTAGAAGAGTTGACTACAGGGTCGGCGAAGCACACTGAGGAAGAGCCAACCCAGCAGCAGGGCACTGGATCCAAGAAGCATGAAGGGGTTAGTTCCAAAAACCCTCCGCCTATACGAAAACATTACATGCGAACAAGATCACACAAAGTTAGGAACACTTAATACTAATGTCATTTGAATTCGAACATGTTTACTACTGTTATGTACCATGTGAGATTATTTACTTATGTTTTCAAAACTTGTTGTTTACAATTTTCAGAGTATGATAAAACATGTTACTAAATTATAGCATTGGTGTACTCATTTGTATATTCATGCATGTTTCTGACAATAAACTGCAGAGTAATTCAGAGAAAGATGATGCTCCGATGAAAGCTAATGTCTACGTTGGTGCGTGTGAGAGTGTTAACGCCCCGGGGGATGCAAAAGGAAAGAAGGCTGCCGTGAATGAAGAAGAGGCCCCAGAGCCTAGTATTTGTGAAATTGACCCGAAGACGTGTGATGTTGACTTCGACGCGGTTGCACTTGCCAAAAATGCCAAAGCCAGAGAAGCGGCTCAGCTAGTTGCCCGAGCAACGAGTGCCAGACACCGCCAGCTGGCTGCGACACAGAAGAGTCCCTTCTTAGGAAACAGCACCGCAAAGACCATCATTCCATCGTCGGCATCTCACTCCGGCCGTGCCCGTGGATATGATCCTTTTGATCAAACCGGTGTCAGGGCGAAGCATACCACTCTAATGAACTTTATCAAATCAAACCCGTAAGTAGACTTCTATACGTATGTAAGTAGACTTCCTCATAGTATTATTTCCTATCGAACTCTTTCACCTGTACAGTGCCTGGCCAAAATGCCCAAGACACTCTTCGATCGATTGGTATTACATTCTGCGGACACCGACGAAATGGCTAGCTGATACGGTTAGTGTTTTACTTTATCATAGTAGACTTCGTGTTTAGAATTCTTCCGTAGACTTCTATAATAGACTTCGTTTGCAGACTTCACTCATTTCTTATTTTCCCCAATGAGCAGCACATGGAAGCTTACATCAACCTACTCAGGCTGCGATTATCCAAGCATCCAGAGTGGTTTGTATCCGACCGGATTTGCTTCCTCAACTCCATGTTTGCTACTGTTTGGAGGCATGACTACGAAGCCTTCAAACAATCCGAGCCGAATGTAGATGGGTCTGGCAAACTTCTACCGCCTGGAGCATATTCGTACTACACTGGCGAATTACCTATCTACTGCCAGACTAAGAAGACGTGGGCATATGATGTCGACTATTTGTACTCCATGTTGCACATTAGGGAGGACCATTGGGTAGCAATATGGGTCTCATTTGTGAAGAAGCATATCACGGTATGGGATAGCCATGCGGCAACCAAACATGCATCTGATGAACAAATTGCTGAAGCTGTGGAGCCTCTTGCGGTTATGATACCCTACCTTCTTCAGACCTGTGCACCTGAAGACGACAAGTGGAGATTCCCCTGCACGCCGTTCACCCATTCGCGAGTACCAGGTACGGAGATACCTCAAAACATTCAGAGTGGTGATTGCGGAGTGTACTGCCTGAAGTACATCGAGTGTCATGCATTGGATTTACCATTTCCTGCAGAGCTCTATGACGAAACAGGATGTAAGGGCCATGATAAGCTAGATGCAACCGAGCTGGATGTCTATGATAGGCAAGCTTAGTGTTTACGTTATTAAAACTAACTTTGATTAATATGGCAAC